CTAAGGTGATTGATCACACGTGGTTGAGTGTGTATGATGATTAGATGCTCCATCCTATATATATTTTATATGTATACATATATATATATATATATATAGGGTGAGGACTTATTGTTTTTGTTATCATTTGTTAATCAATTTTTGATTTATAAACATTTATCTCAAATACAATTGTTTGGCGACTTCAAAAGAAAACAAATTTCAAATTATAAATGTTTCAACTTCACAATTTTCTCTACTAAAATTTGATTACTCACCAACTCTCGTAGTTGACCTGTTTTTACCCATGGTGCAGATTTGAAGAAGGAAGAATGATGAAAAATAGGTTGCGCCTTAGAAATCCACAAGACAATTTAAATTTGATGTAATAAATGTTGTTCGTATTTGGATATGTATTTGTATGTTGTGGATCTTGTTTGCATACTTAGTACTTAATTGAATCTAATCATATTATAACATAGTTGTCATGAGACTTTGAACAATATATCACGCCTTGATCGATTCCGACAAGGATCGGGGTGTGACAGCGGTGGTGCCGCTGCAGAATATTCAGGTAGATGCGAGCCTGAATTATGTTGAGAGACCGATCGCGATCCTGGATCGGAAGATCAAGGTTCTGAGGAACAAGGAGGTGCCCCTGGTTCAGGTCCAGTGGCAACATCGGAGAGGGTCCGAGCTGACTTGGGAGCCGGAGTTAGAGATGCGGGAGCAGCATCCAGAGTTGTACGCCGAGCGAGACTGTGAGGGCGAAGTCTGATTCTAGTGGGGGAGAATTGTAACATCCGGATTCCCAGGTATTCTATGTTATTCATTTATTTTGAATTAAGAGGAGGGACTCGACGAATTGACGCCTAGACTCGTCGAGTAGGATCGCGATTTGCTGACTGGATTAATGAAGGGACTCGACGAGTCGATGGGTGGACTCGACGAGTCCGCGCTGTGGACAGAAACCCTAAATCTTTGGGCATGTGCCCTATTTAAGGGTCCTTATAGCCCTCAATTGCGGCTACCATACCAGAGAGAGAAACCCTAAAGAGCTTGAACGAGTGGTATAAGAGAGAGAGCCTTTTTGATCCTTATTAGTGTGATTTTGCAAAGAAGAAGGTGTTTCCAGCAAGAGGAGGTCAAGGGGATTGCTATTCTGTGGATTTCCAGCTTGGATCTGTAACTTTGAGGTAGTAAATCGATCCCTTCTTCTGTTTAGTATGAGATCCTTGAATTTAGGGTTTTCTATACCCTTTTATTGGCTTGAAATGATGAGTATATTGTCCCTTTGAGTGTTAGACTCTGGATCTGGACCTTTAGAGGTCCAAAGAGCCTTATCCAACCTGCTTTATGTTGTTCCATGGAAGAAATGATCTTAGGTTGCCTTTTTAGAGATGATTTCACCAAAGAGAGCCCTATTTGTGTTGCATGAGTGTAAAGGTCGGACCTTTACGTGATTATTGTAGATGGGGAGGGTAGATCTATAGATTAGAGAAGCGGATCTGACCTCAGAAGGTCATTTGAGTGTTGCCATGGACGCTACTCGCCGAGTCCATAAGTAGACTCGACGAGTCGAGTCGGGGTTGCCCCGCGATTCGTGACAGGTGTAACCCGTCGAGTGAAGGGATGACTCGACATGCCAAGTGAGACTAGAAGGATTCTGAGGACCCGCATGGACTCGCCGAGTCGCCCATGTGCACTCGACGAGTCGGGTCAAAGTTTGACCGTTGACTTCAGTTGACCTTAGGGTTTTGGTCAAGCTGATTCAGGGGAGTTCAGGGAGGGGTAGGATGGCCTTCTACCCAACCTTTAGAGATGAGGCTATGAGAGGGTTTTGATCAGGAATGTTATTCGTATGATAGGAGGAGGCTAGGTCGGGACGTCAAGCACGAGAGTTTATCCGACTTCGTACGAGGTGAGTCTTCTCACTATACTGTACCTAGAGTGGTACCTATGTGTGACCGGAAGGTCTTATATTCTATGAGATGTATGTGATGTATGCTGTTATATGATATGGATGTGTTATGTATGTTATGAATGCTAAGGAACGGAAGGTCATTATGATATGGATCGGAAGGTCAAGATGATATGGACCGGAAGGTCATTACGGGTAGGACCGGAAGGTCTACCAGGGTTGTGGGACGGAAGTCCTCTGAGACACAGTGACCGGAAGGTCTTATAGCCTTGAGTGGCGTATGTGTGTATGTGGTATTTTGGGGAACTCACTAAGCATTTATGCTTACAGTTGTTGTGTTATGTGTTTCAGGTACTAGCGAGGATCGCGAGAAGGCGTCGGCATGATCCGTACACACTCATGGAGTTTATGTCTTGAGATTCTGGGATATGTTTTGTTATGATAACATTGGATACATTATGTTTTGATATTACCTTATGAATAAAAGTATGTTTTAAAAATGAAAATTTGTTTTGGAAATTTACGTTGTTACAAATTAATTCCAAAATAATTCTTGATCAATACCAATTAAATAATATGATTTCTCAATTAATATATTATTCATATAATGTATTAATAAATCACAAATAACCTCTTTCTCAAATATGCATCCTATCAAATTGCTTTGGTGAAGGCAACCCAAAAGGATCATGCTACTATCGGGTCAAGTACATACCAATTATAGTTATGGGCTTAGACACCTAATCCAACAGATGCTAGATCTAGTTATGTTGTTATTTTATGCTTTTTGAGTCCTTGGAGTGGTTGGTGAGCTTCTTGACTCACTCCAGAAGTTATGGTGTTAGATCTAGGCTTCTTTTGGTCTCCTTATTTATAAAAATGCAAGCTTTATGATGTATCTTGGACCATGCATGTGTTAAGACCTTGGTTAAGTTCTTTTTGAGCTCTTGAGCCCCATTAAGACATGCATGTATGTAAAGTTTCCAACTTTACGTGAAAAGTCACCCAAAGGAATCAGATTTGAGAGTTTGGCTTGAAGTCTCAATGGATTAAGTGCTTAATGAAGTGGGGTGGTAACTGGGGAGTACGCTGGGCGTACCAAGCTGGTACGCTGCGCGTACTAGCCCGAGAGGGAGTACGCTAACCGTACGAACTGAGTACGCCCCGCATACTCAGCAGGCGGTCTTCGGATTTTGGGCTTCTCGGTTTTGGGCCATATTTGGGCATTGGGTGTCCATTTTTGGAATTGGGCCTCTTAAGTAGTTGGTTTGGGCCTTGGCCTTGGGCCAAGTTAGGTAAAGGTTAAAATGGTCTTTTACCCTCGTTTAGACTCTTAGTATAAGTGAGGATCTAATTATTAATTGAATGTTATTTTATGATGATAGCGCGGGGATTTTCGGACCAACAGCCATAGATTTATCTGTGAGATTCAGAAGTTTGAGGTGAGTTTCGTCACTGTGTTTTAGCGGGTCGAAGGCACCAATGTCGGCCTATGGTTTATTATGTTAGGATGCTAGATGTCTGCATGAATCTTGCATGTGTATGCATTGGTATGTATACCGATCGGGGCTCGATGTCGGGCGAGGCCCGATGGATATATTGTATACTATTATCTTTGTGATTATCGCATGTGTTAGTATGATTATATGTTTATATGTTTATATGAGTATCGGGCGGGGTCCGATGTCAGGCGGGGCCTGGTGGTTGACAGATCCGTAAGCCGAGCAGGGTTCAATGTCGGGCGGGGTCCGATGAAGGGCGGGGGCCCAATATGTGTTTATTATATATGATATGTGGTATTTTGGGGAACTCACCGAGCTTTGGCTCGAAAAGGAAGAACCCGGGATGATTGCAGAGCACACACCACTTTATTCTGCATTTTGTAATGTAGTGATATACTTTGGTCTATCTTGGTTGTATGACAATGTTTTAAAATACCGTTTTATTAAATTAAAAATAAAATTTTTGGGTCTTATTTTTGGGATGTTATAGTATAACCATAAATTTTTTCTTTAAATCTAAAGAAAGTGAAAGGAAAAATGATGACATAAAGTGAAACAAAGAAAGATACCCAAATAACTTGTAGTCTTTCAAAATTTAGATTAATTATACCAATCTTTAGTTCTTCTTGATATCTTTCATCATTCAACTCATGTTTAGAGATTGTATGGCTATCGTCAATCTTTTTTTTCACCCACAATCTCGAGTTCTTGGCTCAATATGTATGTAATAAAATACACCTACACATACTTTCTCCTCTTATTCTACATATCTCTTCTAGTATTATTTTTCTATTGAACATGTATGTTTATATAAACATTCTTTTCATATTCATGTATGCTTGATAACAATAATGAAAAGAGGACGAGAGGAAAACATGGATAACAAAAGCATGAAAATAATGCTCTTATATAGGCAAAAAATTTCAATTAACCAACAAATTAAGTATGATAAGTTGAGAAGTTTTGAAAGTTTTAAATGAATATGGTTCAAGATGATGTTTTATCTTGTATTATATTGATTTGGATAACCTTCTTTATATATAGTGTTTAAATGGATTACAAACACACCACTCTATGTGATTTTACCACATTTACCTGGATTTGTTTTAATTGAATATGAAACATATAATTTAGAGATATTTAGGGTGCGTTTGATTGTGAAACTTTTTCCAATTCTCCATAAAAAAATTTCAAATGAAAATGAAAATCTTGAAAACACGTTTGGTGGATTCAATTTTCAAAAATTTTCCAAAAATGAAAATTTTATATTTTCCAAGTTGTATGAAAATTAGAAAATTGATTTTTATGGTTTCTCAAAATTTTCTATTAGATTTGTTTTCTAAATTTTTTGTTGAAAACTAAGAATGAAAAACTCAATTATATTTTTTAAAAATATTTATAAAAAATAAGAATAGTCTTCTAAAAAACAACCTTAGCTTTTTGAGGTGCATTCCAATAAAATATATTTTCACTAATAATAACCAAAAAATTATAAGTCAAATATGGTAAAAACACACACCCTTAGGCTACAATACATAGAGCCCATAATTTTAATAGGGCCAATTTGAATACATTAGCCCAATCTTGAATCTGAAAGACTGAAACCCTAACTTCAGAGCAAGCTACTATAAATACACACGTCCAACTCTAAACCCTAATTGATCATCGTTTCATAAAGATGTCGAAGCGAGGTAAATGATCAGAAGAGTGTTTTCGTTTATATTCATATATTTCATTACAAGTGCTTCCAATTGATTTATGATCCTTGTTTCTGTCCGTTTCTAACCTTCAAGGGTTTGATTTTTCAATGTGCATTGTATGCAGGAAGGGGAGGTTCTGCGGGTAACAAATTTCGAATGTCACTGGGTCTGCCAGTGGCGGCGACGGTGAACTGTGCTGATAACACCGGCGCAAAGAACCTTTACATAATATCCGTAAAGGGAATCAAGGGACGTTTGAATCGGTTGCCTTCAGCATGTGTTGGAGATATGGTGATGGCTACTGTGAAGAAAGGAAAACCTGATCTTCGTAAGAAAGTGATGCCTGCTGTAATTGTCAGACAACGCAAGCCATGGCGCCGAAAGGATGGCGTCTTCATGTACTTTGAAGGTATTACTCGTTATCTTTCGTATTCCTTTGAATCCTTCCATTACATTTGCATGATTTTTGTTTGGTTTTTAACGATTGGGACCTGTCTCTTATTTTAAAAAAGATCCTTTTGAAAATCTAACCAGACTAGTCAAGTATCTTTTCATTTTAATTGTTTGATGCTGTTACACGTCTGGAATATAAACTAAATCTATCGTTACAGATGTTCTAATGCTAATTAAGCACTCATCTGCTCCATGTAGACTTGACATAAACCAAACTTCAATTTTTCTTTTCTGTTTTCTTTGGGATGTATTGGTCTTTCTTTTGTAAATTGAGTGTAATCATGGTGAATAGGTAAAATGTTATTGCATGTTATGTGACCCGTTTATTGTTATTTAATGTTAGTGAATGGAAAATGTTATCCAGACTAGTTAAATATCTTGTCATTTTGATTGGTTGATATTGTTACACGTCTGGAAAATCAATCTGTGATCAATCGTTACAGTTGTTCTTTTCAAGCTTGCAACTGCTACATCTGATTGCTACATTTGCCTTCATTCTAACGAAGACATTGTACACTTTATGTTTTAAATCATCTTATTAAAACTATGCCGTTCCTAATATGTTGTGTCTTTTATATGGTAACAGATAATGCCGGTGTTATTGTCAACCCAAAAGGAGAAATGAAAGGTAAATGGCATATTTTGATTGTTTTATTTGATTATTGAATGGTGAAAAGTTTGTTTTACTTATCATTTATTTTTTAGGGTCTGCAATCACTGGACCAATTGGGAAGGAATGTGCTGATCTGTGGCCAAGAATTGCTAGTGCAGCAAATGCAATAGTCTAAGAATTTTCTTTTTCTTCACAAACCAAATTTGTAAAACCCGAGCTGCCTGAGTTTTTTTGGTTCTGTTTGTTATATACTTGATAACTTTTAGTTGTTGACTTTATATTCCATTGGAAGGTGATGATATGTTTAACATGCTTGAATGTCTTATGATATTTTGCCCATTTTGTTAAAAAGCAGTGTATTTTAACAGCCAACAAAATCTGAAGTGAGTGAAAAACAGAAGGATAGGACAAAGTTCAGTTGGTTGTATGAAAGCAATATTAGAAGTACCAATGTAGATTAGCTGTTGGAAAGAAATCAGATACTTTGGCATTTAATGAAATGCATATTGAATACCCCGCTGAAATCAGATTGGGTTTGCTTATTTTTTGAAATGAGATGTTGAAAGAAATATTACCTTAATGCTGAAATTAGATTGCATTCCTTTCATATGCTAATCTCGATTTCCTATGTTAGACATCTGTTAGTATTTGTCTGTTTTTGTCATCTCAATTGGAGTTATGAAAATATATAGTTATATAACATGAAACCGGAATGCACAAATATGGGGGTTATCTTAATTGCTGAATTTGGATGTGCATCAAACACTTTCAATCATCTTGCACAATACATCAATCAATCTCAAATTCTCCACCCTTCACCCCAGCTGCAAGTAATGTGGTCATGGTTTTAAGACCATCTCCAACCCTTAACATTATATTTTTTACACTATATATATAATTATAGTCTTAAAGAAGTGTATACACTAAAACCCACCTAGCCATTACACTATATTTAACACTAAAAAGAGTATTCTAGGTATATTGTTCTTTATTCGACATTATATTTAGTGTTACACTAAAATCCAACACTGTATATTGCATTACACTAAAATCCAACACTATATATATATTGTTAGGTATAGTATAGGGTTGGAGCATTATAGTATAATTTATAGTGTAAAAATGGTTTTAAAATGTAGGGTTGGAGATACCCAAAGGCATGTAATTTAAAACATTATATAAACAAATCTCACATTATTATATGGATTGTATCACTGTACTCATGGTATTTTAAGGCATGCAACTTCCAAAATTGTTTCAACTAGGAACTTGCCAGAAGCTGCAACCCATTTGCAAGATGAGGGATATGCTTATTTCCATATCAAATGATCTCATTGAAAATGTTACTGAATTGAACTCTGATCAATTAGAAAAGCTTCATCAAGATAGGTAATATCCCATTTTTGCTAAGAAAAAGAATAATGGAATTTTACTTTTGGTGCCTGATATATTTGAATGATGTAATCATAGGCTGCAACTAAAAAAGCAAATCCATCGGCTTAAATAATATTGTTCTTCTATTATGATGGATGATGAAGGATGCAAATCAAACTTTTCTACATATACAACCCCTAGAGATTTGAAGTATCAAACATCATTAACATTACCTCAAGGGTTGATTCTGTTAGACATGATGATCATTTTTTCATGCATAATACATGGGACCCTTGGATGAGTGACTTTTCAATCATTTCCATGTGATCATTCAACAATGTTTATTAAGTTTTAAATCTTTAATCTCTTTACTTTTTGCTGTGGGTTGAATGTTTTTATAAAAAATATAATGTTATAAATTAAATGGTAAATCATAAATGAATTATTATAAAATATATTGTCTGAGGGTAATATAGTCATTTTGCACTATCAGTCAGATGAAAATCAAACAAGAAGTTTTAGTCTGAAGTTAACTCAGTTAGAACTTCTAACCCTGTCAGCTCTAACCCAATTAGCAAATATCAAACAATCCCTAAGAGAGTTAAAAGAACAACATGGTTGAGTAGAAGATTGATTGTGATGCTATAAATAAATGGTGAAAGCAAACATCAACTTCCTCAAAAAACCATCGAGTGGGATGGATATAACAGTGTGCTCTATGGTCGTAACTATTATGTCCCCTAATGTAATATATGCCATCTTTTTAACTTTTCCTTTCTTTTTAATAGATCAACCTGCCATGTACCATCTCCCTTTGTGAACAGGAGCAGAACGGTTGGAAAAATACATATGAACACAACAAATTAGGGGTGGAAATTGTGTCGGGTTTAGAGAGTCATAGGTTGGCGGACTGGAAACTTAGACAGCTCTAACCCAATTAGCAAATATCAAACAATCCCTAAGATAGTTAAAAGAACAACATGGTTGAGTAGAAGATTGATTGTGATGCTATAAATAAATGGTGAAAGCAAACATCAACTTCCTCAAAAAACCATCAAGTGGGATGGATATAACAGTGTGCTCTATGGTCGTAACTATTATGTCCCCTAATGTAATATATGCCATCTTTTTAACTTTTCCTTTCTTTTTAATAGATCAACCTGCCATGTACCATCTCCCTTTGTGAACAGGAGCAGAACGGTTGGAAAAATACATATGAACACAACAAATTAGGGGTGGAAATTGTGTCGGGTTTAGACAGTCATAGGTTGGCGGACTGGAAACTTCAACCTGGACACAACCCCGCTAACATGTTTAATTATATGGGTTCACGGGTCAAATTTGGGTTAGGGGGTTGACCCCTGAACCTGTTGGAGATAGAAATGTTCTCCAATGCTGAGTGATAGCTAGGTTAGTATTTTTCCTTTATTTAATGTGTAGAAGGTACATCTCTCTCTGTAAACAAAGAGGGAGTGGTCATTTGTATGTGTGCACCTCAATGTAGTAATTCAGATTAGAGAGAGTGTGACTGGGAATTTCTTTACCTAGCCACTTGTTCTTCATGTAACACTTTCTACTCTTTCTATCTATGAAAATCATTTGATTCATCTTGTTCTTTAGTTTATTACATCGATTGTCTTCATGACGCATCCAACATGCATGCGATAGCTGGTTCCGTCGGCCCCACTTGAAGATTTTGTCCATTCTCCTCTTTAGCGATTGGTATTCACGCCTCCATCCAATTGATGACACCTCATAACCGGGTCCTTCTCATAGCTGTACATCGGTACATTATTTCGACTCTCTCTCTCTCTCTCTCTATATATATATATATATATATATAGATATATATAATATATATATATATATATATATATATATATATATATATATATATATATATATATATATATATATATATATATATATATATATATATATATCCTAAAAGTCAAACAAGGTAACCAATCTTTTCCCATCTGCACCTTACCTCATTTTATTTTTCAGCCAATAGAAAACCCCATAGACATTTTTATCCTTATTTAATTTTTTATTTTTGCCTTTATTCCCGAAACCTCTGAACCCAAAAACCTTTCCTTCGGTCACTTATCACCTAGAGAAGCTTCCGTTGATTTTTTTCTTCTCTTTGACTAAAAAAAAACTTCTGTCTGAAGAATTATCTCTTCGCTTCTGGACCCACAAACCCTCTACACCCATTTATCCAAGTACTGAAGAATTTATTTTCTTTTGATCAAAACTTCTCTTTTGATTTAATTCTTCGGTACATCACCTATCCTGATATATCCTTGTGATCTAAGCCTTCCATCACCAACCATCTCTTCCACTACAGGAGTTTCCTACCCAAACCTTCTCCACTACAGAAGTTTCTCACAAAACCCTCTGATCTTCAAACTCTTCTGATAAATTCCTCTAGATCTCATCCCTTCTGATCGGAAAATTACTTCTGATCTGAAGACCATCCGACACTCAAACTCTTTCGACTGTTTCTACCTTCTGACCAAAAGAAAAACACTTCATTTTTTTACACCAATTAATTCATTTTTTAGTTTTACCAATTTTTTTAACCAATTATTTTTTTTACACCAATTTGCCTTACCCACTTACACATTGATCAAAATCTTGTGTTTGAAGAACATTGAAAGATTTTTGTTATCTTCAAACAAGTGCTCAAACAAATTTTATATCCGAAAATACTTCAAGAAATGCATCTTATTTTTGGATTTTCAAGTTTCAAATCTTATGGTTTTCATATCTTCTACTCATGGCTGATCTCAATAATGTGGATGTTATTCCACTCCTTGTCACTGACCATTAAATCGAGGTCGACGGACCATATTTAGACACATGATTGACGGATCAGAAGTCTTGGCTCAACAACTTCTGACTAAGGATTTTATTTTTCCGAAGTCTTTGGCCAACAGTGTCTGAGGTGATATCTGCCGGACCAGCAGACCCCTCTCGGTTGTTACAAGTAATTCGTGGGTCAGCAGTTGGTCATTCAGCCTTTCTTCAGTTTACAAAGATTTCACAGCTGATGTTCTTTATTGTTATCAGAGTTTAATCGTGTAGCAAAGCAGCAGAATCAACCAACTACAAATGACCTTGGAAGTATTAATATACTTTATGTATCTTTGAGACCCTTCTCACATCAAGGGGGAGCATGCGAAGCTCCTGATATCCAACGTTCTCTTGCCTGAAATATTTTTTTTCTCATTACATTTTCGATCAATAATAGGGGGAGAATATTCAGTGAGCATCCATATTAGATTTGATGTTTGTTCGAGTTTGGATTTTCATATTTTTGAAGAAGAAGATTTGTTCCGCAATGGCCAATCGTTCAAATGGGATCAACAAAACCCAAATATTATTTGTGTAATAGTTATGACTGGTTTGATTTAGGCACACAACACACATAGGCGGATACGTATAGTCGTATAAATTAAATATAATATATTTTATGGTGAATCTTCTAATAGGGAGGTCTTGGGTTCAAATCTTCCCAGGCTCCTTTCAGGGTGGCTAAGAGGGGGTTATGCAGCAACGCTTGCAATTTTTTTTGAATAACAAATTTAATCTATTCCTAAAGTACTTCTTAAATACACATATGTCCACGACGATACTTGAACCCTCGACCAGAAGGAGGGAGAGAAATACCTAATACCGCTGGACAAGAAGCAATACTTGATAATGCATGACAAAATGTGTTGGTGTCTTCGCCAAATAGTGAACCATCTCCGATGGAGCCTTCTTTAAAACGATAATAACCTTTAAAAAATAAAAAAAATGAAATGGGTTTGCGGGTTGTGTAACGTCCCAAAAATCATGATAAAATTTTTATTTTTCAGAAACCATTTTCATAAACCATACGTCATACAAAACATTGTCTCCAAACATAGTCATAAAAATCAGAGTATCCAAAAAAATCTCTCAACATAAATACCTG